ACTCCCATGTTTTCTACCAGCCTCCACACGGATACAACATGACCTTCATTTGAAGGTGACTATTAACAGGCAAACTCAAGAGAATCAGGAGTACAATGGTTATATATAGAATCCAGAGACAGTTACTCAGGACAGAGTTTAATAATGAAGATTGTTGAGGCTATCATATGAAAAACATTTAGTCTTCCTGTTCAGAGTATCTTCGAGTAGGTTACAGATTCTTTCCCCCCCTCCTCACATACCATTCCTATGCTTCATCTTATGTAGGTATGCTACTATCCATCTCAAGGCTGGGTTGTTTTGGTTTGGTCTTGTTTTGTTTTTCTTTTTTAAAGAGCATCATTCTATATTAAGAAAGCACATTAACACAGAAGAGAAGCAAGAAAGAGGTTCCATCTGTCTTTCTAGATGCAGCTCCACAAAGAGCAAATCTGAAGAGTCACTAAAATAACAGTTTGCAGTTTTATTAACGTGTTCACTGCCTTTCATGTTTGTTAGTATGACTGTGAACTGCACAGATGCATTGTTTGTCCTCATTTTGCAATGAAACTACTTATCCCTTTAAATCAAGGTCACTCATTTTAAATATAGACCCCTCCTTCCTTATCAAACACCAGGATGTACTTTTATCAACAGTTAATGCAAAATACACCTTTCAGTAACATGCAGCTTCATACTACCCTAGATATGCAAGGCAGGTATCAGCACTGCTAGAATTGCTTTTTATATTTCTAGATGTATCCACTGACAGAAAACCACAATTCTAGTTTATTCTTCTCAATTTCTTCTTGATAAGTTGTTGGACTTTTTACAATAATATCTGTTTTTGCTAATCAAAAATCATTTTTTCTTCAAATAAATTTACCAGCACAACAAAGCCTATCAGAGAAAATTAAAAATGCAATGCATCTAAAATAAAGCAAAGAAACAAACAAAAAAATCATGGTTCCAAACAGAGTGCTTTATTACCTTAGCATCTTTTATTTCAACAGGCTGCTGACAACTCACAGAATCAGAATTACTGAGGTGATCATAAGCCATTTTCTTTACCATGTTATGCAAGTCTTCAAATTCCCTATACACATCTGGAAAGTAAGCTTTGGCTGGATATCCTTTTTCAACCTAGAAATAAGAGGAGGAATATATTTAAAAAAAGATGAAATTAAAATCTGTCAAGTTTGTTTCGTTCAACATTTTAAAACAGAAATACCAAAGTCAAAAGATTATGGAATGTTCAAAATGCCACTGAACCAGGCAGCAAAAAGCAAGGCTTTGAGTTGAGACCTAGCAGAGTTTTGCCTGTGTAAGCCTGAAGTGATGTGTGGAACATCTACGTGCTGCGCAGTTCCAACTTAGGAAATTCAATTATGTCTCTAAAGGAATCTTTTTATGTATATTATTGAAAGTGTCCCTAAAGTAATTTAACATTTTTACATGAAAACTCACCTTCATCAACAGAAATTCATACACTGTAACAAGCTTTGAAAGACGTGGGAGAGCCAGCTCCATTAAGTCTTCATTATCACACTGCTGTATCAGCTGCCAAAAGCCAGAACGAGTTTGTTAGGAAAAGGCAGCCCACAGGTTATGCATCCCATTTGCAGAATACAACATATCACTACTTCTTTCTGAAAGATATTCTGTGTGTTTAAGCAGCTTGAGAATAGATACCAACTAACACCAAAACAGGGGCTAGAGTTAGAAGACCTCAGAACAGTTACTACTCATCTACAGGCAAAACTCAGCCCCACAGATGTTGCCAATTCATAGAAAGAACAGCAACTTCAGTTGCTGTAGCCACTTTAGTAGCCATAAAGGATCTACAATGCACAAGAAACAAAAGCACAAATGTGTGTTAGTTGCATGGATTTTAATCCCCATTCTATCCTCTCCCAAGACCTTCTTTGTGGACTTTTTTTTTTTTTTTTTTTTTTTTTTTTTTTTTTTTTTTTTTTTTTTTTTTTTTTTTTGCTGTTGTTCAACTCCACTTGGGTTTGTGTTTTTTACTGTGTTGGAAGAGATACACAGTAGTGGCTAGTGACTTTCCTTCTCCAGAAAAAGGATAGCAAGAGTACATCTACATGTCAAAAGTCCCTTTCCAGACTGAGATCCCATTTCCCCTTTTTCCACTGATCTGTTGGAAGTACTATTTTCTTAAAAGACAGTTTTATGTTTTCTTTTGAGAAGACATCTTAGGCTTTCATCTTGTCAGTATACAAGGATGTAAAAAAAAAATTTCAACAAAAGCTTTTTTGAAAATGATTCATTGAAAATAAGTGAAAAAAAAAAAAAAGAGGGCAGGGGAAAGATACTTGTGAAGTAATTGCAGAAGAGAACCATACCTCTTTTAACCTAGCTTTTCTTCTGAATACACTGTGTTCTGCTGACACACTACTAAGTGACTTTGAAGGGGACTGACCAGGTCTGCTAAGCCTTCCAGAACACCTGGATCTTCCACCCATCCTTGGTCGACCACGTCTCTTTGGTTGTCTGGGCCTTCCAGGTCCCTTTGGAGTTACTGGTCCCCGGTGTCCTGAACTGGTTTCATTTTGTTGCTCTGCCAGCAAGGGTCTGCTTTCTGCAGTCTTTGAAGTCTTAATTAAAAGAAAGATAAAAGTATTTATTTGGCATTTTAAACACTATTTTGAGGAAGACAATTTTATAATTTTGTCATCTATGCAAACAATACATAGCATATTAAAAAAATGCAAATTTTTTTTTTATTTGCAAAGTTAGCATTTTTGATCCACAAAATGTCATCCAAAATACAGAGATTATGGGAATATCATTAAACAGCTGTTTTAAGTCAGTTAAACGCATTTAATATTTTTGAAGTAAAATATATCATCTTCAAATAAAGGGGTTGTAGAAATAAAACTTATTTAGCAGTTAAACATACCCAAAGAGTAAGTTTGGTTTCATTCTAACCATGTCAAAGCATAAAAAGCATAAAAAGGAAAGACAAAAACTCTACTATGAACACTGACAAGCCCAGTAACTAAATATCAAAATATATATCCCAGTTCCCACATTTTAAAATCCTTAGTCTTCCCAAGGAACACAGCTAAGAAGCAGCTCCTGTTATAAGACCACATAAAAATAAAAAAAGTACTTTTGAGTTGCTAAGTTATTGTGATTTCAGGGCAATTTTTTTTACTGTTCAAAGCAGTGATTTCTTACTGAACACATCTTTCCTTCCAAGCTAGAATTTCTAAGAATATTCCAGTATCTTTGAAGAAAGGAGTTTATAATAGTACTGAGGTATATCAGGCTTCTTTGCATAATCTGTATGTTTGCATCTCAGCATTCAGTAGCTCCCTACTATTCTACTGATTAGGAAAGCTCTAAAAATGGCAAATTTATGTCAGTTCTATCCAGGGATTAAATTACTAAATTAGTTCTAAATATGACATCAGACTAGGTTGAGCGTGGGGATCTTGATTGGCTTCCTGTCTGTACCACTGTAACAATTTTGATAATCCTGCTGTTCTTTCTAGGAAGTTTTCTCTTGGCCAAAACCTGTAACATAATCAATGAGTTTAAGTGCAAATGTGTAGAACACATTTGTAGAACTTGCTAGTTAAAAGCAGCAGGTACAGTAGCAACCTAGGAGTCAGGAGTAGGATAATATCCAAGACTGACTAAGTCTTTTCTAAATCCCCATCATCCTGGGTAAAATAAGTGCTGTACAGGGAAGTAACAGCTCCACAATAATTCAGAGAGCAGATTTTAGTATTCTGCAGTTTTCTTTTTCCAAAGATGATAGATTAATGTAGAGGATGAGGGGAGGCTGGGTTACTGCAACATAAGCTGTAAATGTTTGCTTTCCTGAGAACAACTTCATAAGTACAAACAAAATGTGACACCCCTACATCTAAATGAGTACTTCTGCCTAGGCAGCAGCTGCATCAGCTCTTGCTGCAAGACATTAAGAGTCATTTAAATATTAAAACAGAAACTTTGAAGGGACCAGCTTAAAACATCACAGAAAAAAATCTGCAGCTGAAGTAGCTTCCAACTCAGAGACCCAAGGTTCACCAGAGTATTTGGTGCGCAGGGTTTCAAAGCCATGCTTTAACACCTGTGTGGAAAATAAAGAGATTTTTGTGATGACACTATTGCAGGAACAGAAATTGAAAGAGCAAATGATGTCCTGCTGTTATGCTAAGGGCTGTAACTGAGTAAGAGTGTTCTTATCCAGATGTGGAGAAGAATGTATTTATGCAGGCAAGGTGAAAACTATGTCAGAAATGCAGTAACAAATGAAAACTCAGTGAACATTGTTGTAGGTGTCTGTGCAAGAGTACTATTCCTGCAACACTGCAAGAGACAATTTGATTTTTAAAGCACTTTGATGGGAAATTTGTTTAATGTAGTGTTTCGGAGGGTATTTCTGAGCAGAGTAAGACTATACAGCTGCAGAACTGCCATTCAACTTCTCACAGAACTGACAGCTTTTCCAAGTAACACTTTACCTTTTCTCCAGCCTTTGAATCAACAGTTTCTTCCAGATTGGTAGCTAGTGCATTTTGATGATTTAAAGTGGCAGCAATTGAGTCCAAATGTGGTGGGCTTATCCTTTCCTCTCTTATTCCATAGGCATTGTCCACAAATATACTTCCGTTAGGCTTATTTAGAGGTATTTTTTGAGGTGAAGACTCCAGCTGTCCATGGCCTGGGTTAAGTTTATAATGTCTTGCTAATCCTCCTTTTCCTATATAAGATTTTTCACAAGTCTGACATTTAAACATTTTGGGCTTCAGATTATAATTTGAAGAACTGAATAATGCATCCTTTCCCTTCACCTTTCCTTCTTCATCATCTTCTATACTCAGCTCAGAGTAGTCATCAGAATCAGACTGATGACCATCAGCCAAATCCTCCATTTTAATGAATTTATAGTCTTTAGCTTTGTATTTGGGGGGGCGTGAAATCCGTCCAGAACGAGTTTTCACCTTCAAGGATTTTTTCAACTTGTCATCCTTTTGCCTTTTTTCAAGGCATGGTGTACTGGCTGCAACCACGGTAGTGTTTGGAGACCTTGAAGCCGACGCTGCAGCACGAGTAGCTTTCTGTCCATTTACCATCTTAGATGTGGGAATCTTGTTCACAGACACTGATCTGTGAGATGGTAAAGGTCTCTGCATAAGCAACTGAACTGGAGACTCGGAAGAACTATGCAGGAATAGCTGCTGCTGCTGCTGCTCAGTTCCTGAAACAGGCTGTATCCTAATTATCTGGGGATTAATAATGCCAAGTCCTGGCATGCTAGAATTCCTACCAACCGGCTGACTCAGCGTTATAGTTGTGGACTGGATCGGTGCCAATGATGTCATTGGCCTTTCAGTTTCCTTCATCTGTCCTGGCTGAACTTGGACACAAATGGCTTCCAGCTGCTTTTGTGGAAAAAAGGAAGAGTTGCAATTACACAAATACAGTATTAATAAATACAGTACTTATCAAGATAATACACACATGCCTCTAAAGAAAAGCATGAAGAAACCACTGCACATCATTAGCTTTCCATTTTAACGCATCAAAGCACAGATTTAACATCAAAGCATAAATTCCCTTCCTTCCAGCTATGGGTTTTCCTGCACATTTACTGCTGTGACTGCTGTTCAACTAAAGCATCTAAAGTTTGCTCTGAGGCCATGTCACAGCTTCGTTTCCTGCTAGCAGGCCTATCTGGAATAGCAGAGTCAACACCATCACCAAGGCACATTCATAATCTTCAGCAAACTCCACACGCAGCAGAGCTACTACATGTCTGCTATGTGACATGAGCCAAATACCTGGTCCAGAACATACTGTAATATGTGCTCACTTCAGAAAAAAACTTTGTGGTGATGCTTCAGAGAAGCATCTGTTCATCTCCCTCACAGTCTCTCCTCCTCATCCAAAGTTCTGCCTCAGCTCAAATCAATTACTTGACAACCCCTGCTCCCCAAAATGTGGTCTGAAAGCAGAGGTACTGTCATCTTCTTGTAAGAGGGGCACACATTATCTGCCTGTGCAGCACTGCTGTGAAACATTCCTTCAAAGAGGTTTTCACTGCACGTTGTCAGACAGAAACACTGACCACAGCAGCTATTAGCTACGTTCGAACACACATTTTCCTAAAGCACGCTGAAGGCTGTGTCTTTGAGCTGTGGCACCCGAGGGCAGGTGTAACTGAAGAGGAAGGTAAAAAAAAAAAAAAAAAAAAAAAATTTAAAGCTATTAAACTCCCCGGAGCCTTGGATTTCACCACCGAGCGGGTACCGCAGGCTCCCTCTTTCCCTCCCCGCCCAGCCCCTGGGTTACCTTCTGCGGGAGGAGCCGTGCGGCCGCCGCGGCCCTGCCCTGCTGCAGGGCGACCTGCTGGGCCACGCTCTGCAGCTGCCGAGCGGCGTTCTGCATGATGCCGCCCGCCGGGCACGGCTGCGAAGTGGGGGCGGCGGCGGTCGCCGGCGGCTTCTGCTGCTCTTGGGCCTTGCTCACTTGCTCGATGACCCGCCGGAGCTCGGCGGGGGCCAGCGGCGCGGCGGCGGGCCGGGCCGGCGGGGGCGGCCCGGGGCTCTCCAGCAGCCGCTCCAGCAGCCCCGCGCCCTCCGCCGCGCTGCCGTCCGCCCGCAGGTACAGCACGGCGCCGCTCCCCGCCGCGCCGCCCTCCAGGGCGGACAGGCTCTGCACCAGCTCCTCCGTCACCGCCAGCAGCTCCTCCCGCCCCGCCGCCGCGCCGGGGGCAGCCCCGCGGGGCCCGGGGGGCTCGTCCTCAGGGGGCGGCGGCGGAGGCGCCCCGGCGCCCCCCGCCCCGGGAGCCGCCATCTTGGCAGGCGCGGGCGGGCTGGCGCCGCATCCGCGGCCCCGGGCGGTGTCGGCGGCACCGGCGGCGGGACCAGCGGGGCCAATCGCGCCCCCCGGGGCGGGGCCGCCCGCAGCCGACGGCGGCTCGCGCGGGCAAAAACCGGCGGAGGAGCGCCCGCAGCGCCCGGCCCCGGAGGTGGGACCCGCGGGCGGAGTCAGCGCCAGGTGCGGGCTGTACCGAGCGTCGGTACAGGAGGGACGTGGAGCTCCTGGAGCGGGTCTAGCAAACGGCAGCGGGGACAACTGGGAGACTGTTACGAGAAGAGGCTGAGGGAGCTGGGCCTGTTCAGCTGAAAGGGGACCTCATTAATGTGTATAAATATCTAAAGGGGAAGGTGCCAAGAGGATGGAGACGGGCTCTGCCCAGTGGTGCCGAGCAATAGGACAAGAGGCAGCGGGCAGAATCTGATGCACAGGAAGTTCCACCTGAACACGAAAAAGAACTTATTTACTGTGCAGTGACCAGGCACTGGAACAGGTTGACCAGAGAGGGTGTGGAGTCTCCCTCCTTGGAGATATTCAAGAACCATCTGGACGCAATCCTGTGCCTCGTGCAGAATAACCCTGCTTGAGCAGGGAGTTGGGACCAGGTCTCCCACTGTGGTCCCTTCCAACCTGACCCAATCAGTAATTCTGTGTGGCGCCACTCGCTCTCACGGAGCGGGATTTCGGGAGCAAGACCAGCGACCAGGTGGCGGGGGGTGCGTGAAGCGGAACCCGCACGGTGGAAAACGCGCCCGAAGGAGTGACCCGAGCACGCCGCAGCCGCCCGCGCAGCCACAGAAATGTGCGCTGTGCCCGTGCCGGGCGGGCTCCACCCACCGCAGGAGCACGGGCAGCGCTGCAGCCGCTCCAGGTGCTCGACCGAAACACACACACACCCCGCCCGCAGCCGTGCCCTTGTGTAGAGGTCACACCGCGCGTCTCAGGAGAAACGTATGCGGCGGATGGGAGGGAGTTACTGGTGTAAACTGGAGAGAGAGGGTGGGGGAAAAAAAAAAACCTCCTTGGCCCGTACGGGGATCGAACCCGCGACCTTGGCGTTATTAGCACCACGCTCTAACCAACTGAGCTAACCGGCCACCTGACAGCACGGGCCGCCTCGGCGGCACATAGGGCATGCCCGCCCTAGTGCCCCTATTCTAGCCCGAACAGTGATGGTAACAGCCGGGACGAGGAACTCCCTCGCCCCCAGGAGCCCAGAGCCGGGCCCGCGCAGGCGGGAACACAGGCTGAACTCCTCAGCCAAACCACAAAGTACTCTGTTCTTCCTGTGGCGATGCAGCGCCTGGGAGGTAATAAGCATAACACGCGATCATGGGGCAATTCGCCTCTAAGTCTACAGACTAATACTTCTCCACGTTTCCTAGGATATGATTCCAGTTTCATTTAATTAAAATATCTGAATTATTTTTTTTTTAAGCATTTAATCTTCTGAAGTTTAACGCACTGTTAGGATCTTAGTTTGCACGGACAAACGATCTACCGTTTCCCAGTATTTTGATTTTTACTACGCATGCAGCATTTACAACATAACTTTTCTGCTCAGCTTTGAAATCTGCGATCACACGATATCTGTTTTAGCAAGAGGCAAACACCGAGGGGGTGAGAACAATGGGGGAGGGCGACGACACACCCCTCCAAAATGCAGATTTTTTTTTTTTGTGGAGGCTGGTTCACTACAGCTCGGACCATGGTCTCTCTGCGGACTCCTCTCCAGGCTACTACTCCCATCGCATCCCGGCACATCCCGGCACATCCCCGCATCGCAGTGGCGCGCGGGATCCGCCAGGGATCAGCCCATCACCGGGGATGATCCTGAGCGCCAGGCGCTGCTCCGGCCACTGCAGCCAGGGCCGGCCGCTGGATTTATGGAGTATTAATCCCATGGGCCCAGGGCTGCCCTCCCTAAAACCCTCGCTGTCCCCGGGAATTCGGCCCCGTCGTGATGTCCCGAACGCGGCTCATTCACGCACAACGCAGCAACAGTTCACATACCGAGGCGAGAGGTTTCTGGGGTTTTTTTTTGTTTGGTTTTTTTTTGTGTTTTTTTTATTTATTCTAATTTGTGCGAAGTAGGGGGCTGGGGTGGTAACCCACAAAAGTCTAGTTCACTGATCATCAAAACTTTACACTTTACACTAGTTATACATTTTAACAAACAAAGGCAGCGGCATTCACTGGTTACAAATTACACAGCTTTTCTATTAATGAGCACTCAAACCCTTATTAGCATATTAAATCTCGCTTCTCGTGCTAATCAGTCGGCAGGCGCAGTTCTTTCCATTTGAATCTGGGGTCCGTTTTGAATACGTGGTCAACGGGTTGCGACCTCGCACTGCCGGAATTACCTTTCCCCCAGTTACTGCTCAGTCCTGGTGCCTCTGGTCCACACAACCCGCTCGCTTTGGGAACGTCTCCCCTTTCCCTTAAAACAGACCAAGCCAGGCACAAACGCTCCAGGACGCCCCCACCTGCCGGGCACGGGCGGGGCAAGGGGGACGCACCGCGCGTGCGCGCCGCCGGCGTGCCGTGTGCAGCGGGCCGGGGCGCGGGGCCGGCGCGTGCGCGGTTGCCGGGGCGACGGGAACACAACATGGCGGCCTGAGGGGGAGCGCCGGCGGCGGGGCCGGGGCGGGAGCGGCTGCTCGCCCGGCCGGCCCGGGACCTGCGGGACGGCGCGGGATGCGCAGTAAGGGGGAGAAAGGGAAAACCGCGGGCCCTTCCTGAGGGGTTAGCGGGGGCCTGGCGCCTCTGGGGGAGGGAGTTGGTGGTCACCGAGGGGGCCGCAGCCCCGGGGAGCAGCCGCGCTGAGGGGGCCGTGGGTGTTCCTGTGACCCCTGGGAACGCCGTCCCCACGGCCCGTGGGCAGCACCTGCATCTCCGTTGCCAACGCTGGTCCCTCTGCGTCCCACGACAGGGTGCGAATAGATCTTTGTCCCGCTGCTGTGAAGCATCTCCCTATCTGCTGGTCTCTCTAAGTGCTTTCTTAGGAATTGCTAAGTTTTCCTTGTTCTGCACGCCCTTCCTTCCATCGGTTAGCATCCTTCTTCACATCATCCCGTGTCACACCCTGTGCATCTGGCGTGTCTCTGAGTGCAATAATTACGTGCCATGGCCTTATGGCTGTGACTGAAGCTCAGCTTCATCAGCTTTCTTAATTTCTTTGGCTGCTTCTCCCTTCCCAGGTGCATCAGTGTCATACTTAAACATTATAGCTTTTCTTCCTCGGCATCTTGGCATCTTTGTAACAAAGTGTCTGCTTTAGATTTTTATAATAGCCTGTTTTGACTGTCGTAGTGCTGTCTTTTCTGTCATTTTGTATTGGATTTTTTAATTCCAAATGATGATTAATCTTTCATGCTCTCTAGTTACAGCGGTGTTGTCTTTGAATTCCATCACTTGCCCATAATGTTAGTTTAGACCGTTCCTTTTTTCCTAGGTTTTCCTGTAGCCTCTTGCTCATAAAACTGTCATTTTGTTGAATGATTCATGGCCACTTTTTTGGTGTTAGATGAGTCCACATTGCTACGACTTGTTCTTCCTAACCTTTATTTCCCTTTCCATTAACGATTCCAAGCCTGAGCATCTGTGTGTGCTGAAACAGAAGGAAGGGGAGGGAGAGGTTAGATAATATCTGTTACAGATGGCATGAAAGAACTGCTAACCGGTGATTAGGTCTCCTTTATTCAATGTTCTGTGCAACTGTAATTAAAACACTTCCTTTGTTTTCATCCTAGAAGCCTTCAGTCTTAAAATTTTTAACCTTTCTGCCCATCTTCATCTCTGAGTACCATAAATTCAGGTAATCTAACTGGTAATAAGTTTTGGTTTGTAGCTGTACTAAGTTTCGTAGCTTACAATTGCTGGGCTGTGACCTGGCTGTTCTTGTTCAGGGTGTGTTCAGGGTTTCTACTAAATTAAAATACAAGTCTGTTGTTTTGGTGGGGTTTTGTTGCTGTCTGGTCGCTCTCAAATGATCAGGATGGTGCTAAAGTGGTTTTTTAGGAATATCCAGAAACCTTGGCTTGTGGATGCAAAATCAAACTTTGTAATAAATTGTTAGTCTAAATTTATTTCATCTTATTCTATATAAACTCCTATGCTGTTATTCTTAAAATACTAACTTTCTTTCAGCTGCTGATTGTTCAGAGTTTATGTGTTCATTTTATGCTTCAAAGAGACATTTCAAATAACACAATTTTCATTCCTGATTCTGCATTTTTTTTCAATTAATTGAAAGTATTCAGGTCTTTGCTGTGATTCTTTTTGCTTAAGGTGAAGGCTCGGTTGTTCGTTATGTGTGGGGTGTTTATTTTGTTCACAGAGCACTCTTGTAAAAATGTTTATAACAAGCTTTATATGCTTACATGAAAAACACCTTAAGTGCTGTAAAAATGTTTTAAACGTGTGTAAAGGATTAGCTCTTCTTGCACTATTAGAACTCTTCAATTAAAAATTAAAAGAGATCAAACTGTTTTGAGCCCTCCCCTGTCATCTGGACTTCTCTCATTGGATTAAAATACATGTATAGAAGAAAATAGAAAGAAAACAAAATTATATAAACATATACTTTGTGACTTCTTTATATATCTGAAGATATTTTCAAGAAATTTGTACCATAATGCTTTTCCTACCTAAGTACTTTGCTTCATTAACACTATGGCTGGTATGTCATAGATATTAAGATCTTATTTTCAGATCATGTGATTTTTTTTTTTAATGCTAGAGAATCAATTACTTGCATTTGAGAAAAGAAAAATATGGGATTGCCATTTATTAGAATAAAAGAGTAGGTCAACAAATAAGTTGCTTTGTGTCTACCTTGGGTACTTTTTGTCACAGGGGTGGCTCTGACATTATATGATCAAGTGTAGTCATATTTCTAACTGATTGGAGAGTTGCTACCAAAAAAATCCATTGACACTTTCTCTTTGGAATTCTGTAAGAGTGGGGTTTAAATATTCTGAATTTATGATTCCCATCTTATTTTTAGCAATTTAGATAGGAAATTAAAACTTAAGGTGAGGGTGGAAAACATGGTGCAATGTGTGATTTCTGCTGACAAGGTGTGTTATTTTCGCAGTCTAGTTATCAAATAACAACCACAGGAATTAAACAGTCCAGTCTCTATTTTGGAGTCTCTGTTAGAAATTGCCTCCTTTGCCCATAATGATTTTCAAATTCTGTTTCTGCTTTTAAAATAGTTCTGCATGTGCATTGTCAATAAAGAGTGTATTAGAAGGTGTGAGTGATTTTAAACTGCACTGCATTTTCCAATTTTTCAGATTTAGATGGCCTAGTTAGTTAGTTTATGATGCAGCAGGATGGGCAGTGATCAGAAAACCAAAGCAGCAGATGATAAAAGTGAGAAGAGCGACCAGCAATTTCACAGAAGTGCTGCTACTGTATTGGAGAAAGAGGGAATGTTTACAAGGGGAAGGTTTCTACTAAATTAAAATACAAGCATTTGGCTCATAAGAAAACAAAACACTTTTTTGTCGTTTTGTTTAGTTCTTTTTTCTTCAGCGGGAGTAAGTGTGAAAGCTAAGGAGGAGAAAATAGATGAAGACAACACAAAATGATTGTTATTTGGAAGACAGTGTTAGAATGCCCCTGCCTAAGTAACTTTTTCCTCTGAAAAATTTCTTGGCAGGCTTTCTCTACTGTGAGGTTGTGTTTATACTTGTAAATTAAACATATCTGGAAATCTTGGACACAAAGAGCAACTGGCACGAAATGGCCCCCATCTCTACTAGCAAATTCTCTTATCTTCCAAAACAAGGCAGTAGGACAGAAACTGCTTGAGAACTGACCTTAGAAGGAGCCCTCACACCAGGCAAGGAAGGTGCCTCACAGAGGGTTGGTTCTCACAGGACAAGTCCCTGCCAGGGACTGTTGTCACAGTAACTAATACAGGCAGCTCCACTGAATGTACTGCTGTCAACAGAGCTCGAGACTCCCACAGCTATTCTGACACCCATACAGGGCTGAACATGATAAAAGAAGTTTCCTGCTCTGCCTCCCTCGAAATAACTGGGTTTGGATCTTTCTTAAATAATAAAGACCATGTCAAAAGCAACAGTAGCATAAAGCTAACCAGAATTAGGTTTTGCTCAGATGAAATTACTGAAAAAATTATCAAGGATAGAATCTACAGATGCTAAAAATAAAAGGAAATAGGAGGATGAAGTGGGTGAAGGTAACCAGGCACTGGGATTGGTAAGGAACAGTTAATCACAAAGCTGAAGGAGAATAAAGGAGGAAAGAAAAGAAATGTCAATTCTGATAGAAATTAAAAGACTGAAAAATTAATATAAATAAAGCTTTCTTCATAACTCTTCTTCATAACTCTTACGTTACCTGCTTCATCTCTTAGTTCTGCAGAATTAGAATTGACTGAATTTTCACATCCTTGTGTTTGGAGCACTTCATTGTCAAAGGCAAGCATTATTTTAGAGAAAAATTCATATCTAAATTTAATATGAAAATAAAGCTTTAAAGTCAGAAAATGCTTTGCTTTAAAAAAAAAAGCAAAATCAAAACCAAACAACATCCCCCCCAAAAAATCCCCAACAAATAACCCCCGTTTTAGAAGAATGATTCCATGATACAGTTGCTTTCCAAAATAATTTTTTGTTTTCAGTACAGTATAAATAAAGGTTTGGAGATTTTGGTGGGTTTTTGTGTGAGAGAAGGAAAGAATAAATTCAGCTAATGTGCTGCAGCAGAAAAAAGGTAGAAAGGGCTGCCTGCAGCGGAATCATGTCTCTGAGCAAGAAGGTTCATTGTCTAAGAATTACTGTATTTTACTTTCAGGAGAATAGATTTCTGTAGTATGGGCAGCAAAACTTCATTTTCTGTCATTATATTTTCTCTCAAATTACTTATGTATTCACACACACACAAAAAAAGCCCCTTTTAAGTTTTCCATTAGTCAGCATTTAGCAAATCAATGAAGAATTGTTATGCAGTCATAATAACAATTTCAAACATACTGAAACAGTGTATTTTTGTTTTTAGGATACCACTTGGTAAGATAGGAGAGGGAGCATTTTCTGATGCCCTGCAGACACTGAATCTTAGAAATGGAAAGTGCTGTGCATGTAAACACATGAAGCAACATTTTGAAAGGTATGCATAATTAATTATAGAAATTCTCTGGAAATCTTACTTAAATTTGGTGGGAAAATACAAAATTAAGACTAAGTGAAGTTTTTTGAATGCCATGGTTTAAAAAGGTTTGCATGTGGTACAGAAAGGGAACTCTGCTGCTGATTAGGCAGGGCCTTCCTATTTGGCACTGGGGGGTTATTTCCTTGAGTAGTCCAGTTGATGTCATCCACTGTATTAAATGCTGCCTGGCCACTGGGTCGAGGGTAAAACAAGATGAATGAGGACTAAATAGTTGATTTCTGCCTTGCCAAATGCACTGAATGGACTTGTGCTGTTTTTCTTTTAACTGTAAATAATAATCGGAGGAGGAAATGTGTCAGTCCTCTTCCTGGAGGGGAGAATGCTTTTTTCAGTCTTACTTTAAATACTGTTTTAGTGAAGGTATTCATGCTTAGTCCATGTATAGCATTAGTTCTACTTCATATTTGCATTTATATTTAATTACAACCATCAACCATTATATGGTCACAAAATAGGTGCTTTTTATCAGTTAGGAAAATAGAGGAGAGGGCTGTGTGTAGACATAGGTTTGACATTCTCCTTCAAGTATGTAAGTGCCAACCAGTGGCACTTGGGTTATTGACTTTGTATTCTCAGTTAAATATAGTGAGTTCATGGTGAAATCACTGGGAGTGACTCATTTGTACAAAGCTAAATGGGACATTTTGCTCTTAGGTGAGATTTCACAATGTAACTCAGATCTCAAAGATTGTAGGTTAAAAAAAAAAAAGAAGAGGACTCAAATATCTTCAAGTAATGTGGCTTCTGATTCTCTGTTGTGTTGTTAGAGATCTGTTGGTCCATTTATATGTTACCTACAACTGACAGAATTGTCCAATCTATGATCAAAACAGTATTTAAACTATCTCCTTAACTTTATCAAGGGCAGACATGTACAACTTAGTGGTAGGACTCAACAAACAGACTCTTTCATGTAGCTGTCTAAAACATCTTTTAGGCCTTTAGCCCTTTGATAAATTGACAGATTCTTTTGATGAAGTGAACTCTTTTAGCAAACATAACAGTGTTCTAAGCTGAACCTGCCCATAAAAGATATTTCTCCTCACTTCAAAGTGGAAAATTTTGTTTGGTGTTTCTCTTTAAGTCTGACTGTACAAAAGCAAATGTGTCCTGCTCTGTTCCATTCAACTGTGCAAAGCTCTTTATTTCCTGCTTCCCCCACAGAGCTTCTGTAGCATATTTTTTTGTTTGTTTATTAAAGTCCAGGAGGGCAAAAAATAATTACACAGTAGTTGAATAGTGTCTATTTTTCATGTAAGAGGTTAATTTTAAATGTTAAATTTGGCAAGGCATCATGCTGAGCAATGTTTGGAATGTATGCTGCACCAGCACAGAGGAAATAGTATCATACATACTATTATGCAACACAAAATTCCTGCCAGGTAGCTCCTTGGCATGGTAACTGGTGTTGGAGCACAATAAGTTACTACTTCTCTTGTTTGGGTAAGTCCAGCTACTCCAGACTGCAAGAAGGATTAAAACCATTTACTAATTACTGATTTTCTCAGTAAACATCAGGGAAACCACGTGTCTGGTCCTGCATTTGACAGTTCAGTGACAGACTAGAGTGGAGTAGGTTCTGACAGTCTCATGGCAGGGAACCAAGACAACTATAATCCAGTCCCTGACTCCAAGTCAGTCTTCTCAATTCAACTTCAGTATGAAACAAGGGAATAATCTGAGAGAAATACAAGCACTAAGGAAGCTGAGTCCACATCCTTCTGTCTCCATGCTTACATGAAGTTGTTTTGTAAATATGATGCATTCATTTCTTTCTTCCTTATTCCTTTATTTGAACAATATCCAGTAACTTTTGGGTCCAGAGACAACCTGTAGATGCTTAACCAGCTTTTCATTTCAACAGAAAATAAACCCCAAAACTTTTCTCAAATTCTGAAGTCTACATCCCTTCCTTTGTTAAGAAAGTCTGGTGTAGCTCTCGCTTTCTCTGTCTCTTTTGCAGCAGACCAAAAATATTTCAACATCAGTATTAAAATTACAGACTAAGTACATGTTAAGCATAGTTAAATTTCACCTCATAATATGTACTACTTGCTGATGATTTCAACCCATGTTCCATATCCAGTTTCGTGCTTTCACTGGACATCATGGCTACTGGCACAGTATGTTGGTTAGGCACACTCAGAGTTTATCTGCTGGATTAGGCTCTGGTAGGTGAAGGATCTTGGTTTGACTGGTCAGGTTGAACTAGGGATCAAGGCAAACTATTTGGCAGTGTCATTTCACAGGCAACTTTACAGACACCCCTTTGCAAGTAGTAAAAGTTTAAATCTCAGAATGAGGCAACAGCTGAGCTGTGCATTTGGAAAGAGATCAGTCAGTGATGAAGTTGGGTTACTTATCCTCATTAGGCACTTCAGTGTCTTCTGGGGACACGTTCTGTCTCACAGAGTGGTCACGTCTTATGACAGCATTTGCTCTCCATCGCTGTGCAACAGCAGACGTAGCCTTCATTATTCAAATACTTGACACAAAACTTGTCAACTGCTCTAAAATATGTTATATTGCCCTTCAGGCTCTCTAATTCCTCTGCTCAAGGCTCGGGTGCTACACTGTTAATGACAGGCCTGTTTCCTGTAAACACATGGGAAGCCGGTAATGGTGTCAGCAGCTTGGCTTTCTGGAACTCTCAGCCTCAGCTGCCGTGTTGTTACCCAAGTGTGACCCAGCTGGCCAGCCAGCTCACAGAGCTCCTGCTGTCTGTCTGAGCTGAACTGCAGACTGTACCCCCACCTTTTACTGCCTGGGTTAACACAGCATTGCAGGGCAGATGTGCTGTAATGCAATTATCTTACAGGGAAAACTGAAGACCTAAAGCTGTCTGCCTCTGCAGGGCAGTGAAATGGAAAATAAAGTGTCAGATATATCATGATTATATTTAAAATTGGTGTTGTCAGCAAAACGGTGACTCCAGTCAGACACTCATTTCCATGCAATAGAACACTACTGGTGATCTAACTAGAAAGTATCTTCACATATTGGCTGTAATGACTTTCCTGCCTTTTATTGTAAGACTGTATCAGTTAATTTACTGGAAATTTCTTGTTCCTGAACAGGTTCATATGCCCAAAAGACATCTTTATTGAGTAAATCAGTTAACTTCTGCAGTGGACACTTTGGATAGTATAAACTAAAACTATGATACCTCAGACTTAAGTTTAAAAACTTCTATGAGACAGTATCAATTAAAAATGAAAATGTCCATTTTAATATTGGTTAAACTAAGTATTTTTTTCCTATGCTGTGAATAAATCAACATGTAAGTTTTATTCCTAGGTTAAAGTCTCCTTATTTGTTTCTGCAGTGATAGAAACGCTGGCTCTGTGAATTTATGGGCATGGGTATTTATGAGCTGATAGAAGGTATGTACCATATGCTTAAGAAGCACAAAGTGGAATTAATTATGTTTCACTTGGTTGTTCGCTGTTACAGATTATAAAACTCAGAAGGAAATTTTGTGCTGTACTGCTTCTCCCTTTAGCTCTTGCCAGTAGAATATACCCACTTCTTTAAGGCATGAATGCAGGTTTCTCGTCAGGTCCACGGCCATCTATTCTACAGTCAAACAACCTTGACTGCAAAAGAGAAAATAATTGCTTTATGTAACAAAAAATTAAACTTCAACATGTTTTTGTGGGTCTCTTCCAACTTGGCATATTCTGTGATTCTGTGATTTGTTAGAGCAGGATGGCAGTGAGGTAATAAGAAAATTATTCCCATTTGTTTTAAAACTATTGAACCAATCAGGTTTTATATCTAGTAAAAATGGCTTTTACCAAGTTTTCTTTATAAAACAACATTGTTCCCTGAAACCACCATTATTTAATAATTCTGGAGCTGTTTGTGGAAGCAGATCAGAGACCACAAAGCTTAAGGAAGAGTTCCTACAGAAAAGTTCGGAACAAAATCTGATTTAAAACCAAATCTTGCATAAACACTAATAGAGATAGATAAAGCAAATGAAGGGGCATGTACTTACAATTCATTATCAAAAGAGGATTTTTTAAAATGAATAATCAAGAATTTGTAATGTCTTAACAATTGAGAGATTATTTTAAATAACTGAGCATGCAACTGTCATTCAGTGCAATAGAATAAAGACTCGCTCCTGAACATGACATTGGTTACACTGAGCATTCAGATCTCTAACAAAAGGAGTAACTCTCTGACCTACATAAGAATGTGAGATTAGAATACAGTTGTTTGTTGATGACCAAAGGAGACATTAGTGTTTGCTGGGTTTAATTAGACATTTTGTTTTTACAGGATAGATTTGTTAAGCTGAGAGGTCAGAGTAATTGCATACGTACTAAAAACAATCTTGCATCTTCTCCTTCCAGGAAAGATGCTGTACTTCATTTATGAAAAATCAGAATGTTTAAGTTTGTTCTTTAACTGCCTTTTTTTTTTTTTTACAACAGAGTACTTGCATTCATTTGGTTACATTTCTTATTGTTTCTCTCCTTTTCATGTGAAAGCCTGCTATATCAAACATTGTATTCAGATGGAAATTAGAATCATAGATTCAGTATGTTGTTATTTTTTTTTTTATTTTAAAATACAGTTTTTATCAAAGTCAAGTTTTCCATAAGAAGATTATTTTCCTTCCATTTAGTTTTAATAACCTCCATTTCTATGGCACGGTGAATCAGTTAAAAATGAAATGTATGCAAAATAGTAATCTGAAATGCTGCAGTTAGGGGTTATCTGAACATTAATCTGGGTCTACCTGAATTTCTTTATGATCTGGTTTTGTGTCTGGACTGTGTTTCCCCTGATACAGTGTCTTTTTTTTATGTTGTAGGAGGTGGTGACACATGGGGGGGAGCTTGTTAAATCACAGAATAAAACAGGAAAATGAACAACAAATTCCTATGGAGATTATAATAAATACCCAAAAAAGTATTTTGATATTCTGAAGTATGCAAGCATTTAATCTCTCTGAGGCATAGTGCATTTTTAAGACATTAATTTTGGAGCTTAAAAGTAAATTTCCACAATTTTCCCACAATTTCCTATGGGGCAGAAATAGTTTTTTGTTTTCTCCCCAAACAACTCTAGTTGTGGCTTGTTGCAAAGTCAAGAAATGTAACAACAATAAATACAGCGAAGGGTCCAGGTACGTTATTAATCTGGAAAAATAATCTTATTTCTGAGCCAGAAATCTTATGTCTCAGCCTCACTGAGCATCTCTACAGAACAAAGACAAGTTGGAGCTCCTTTGGAATTTTCAGCAGTGTGATTTGAAAGAGTGCATCACTAATTTGTAGAACAATTAAATTGTTCATTAGCAATGCTCTGTCACAAAACCATTTGCAGAGGGTACAAAAGTAGTTACATTTCAGAGGATTTGTAGTCTTTTATAAATTTCTACAGTGTATAATAATGCGAGTGCCTGTCATTTCCTGCCTGCTCTGTCTTGCAAAATCCAGTTTAATGTAGGTGCAGAGCAATTAAAAAAATCTTTACATTAGAAAGATTTAGAGGCAAGCATGGTTTGTACAATATTTTGTAATAAAGAAAAACTTGAAGCAGGGGTTGACTGAAAAGTAATTTTTAATTTAACAAGGTGTATGGAGACATTTGAGTAATTAGGAGAACAGGTCACTGTAATGCTACTCGTGGAAAGTTGATACTTCTGAATTTTCCTTAATAAACCAAGAGATCCATGTTACTTCAGTGAAGACAAGGCTATTTGTCTTTACACAAAGTCGTAATTCTCTTGCTGTTAATTTATAGTGGAATCACAAGTCATTTTATAACTGAAAAACAGTCTTGTCCTTTGTTTAATCAAGAGCAGTTTGGTCATTTAAAGCAATGTAAAAAGTTTGTCTCAGAGAGAGGTGTGGGGGATGCCTCAAGTGAAATGATAGAAGCCACAGGTGCCACTGCCTTAGGATTCACTTCACCATTCCTGCCAAATAAGGTTTCTCTAATGATAAACCTGGAAGCAGAGGAGCATCTGCTCCAGATTTTACTACTGACCCCTAATGAAAAAGCAATTGAGCATGACTTCTTTTTGTGAAGGCCTGATTTCTTAAATACTAATAATAATCCCAGTTGATTTGAGTAGCAGCATTTTATAAAATCTTTTCTATTATAAATGATAAAAATCCTGACATTGAAAGCACCATTTATCTCCACAGGGGCACTACCACTACAATTCCCAGTGTAAATGGTACTGTGTTCCAAGTGCTTTGTGATCTAATCCTGCCCAGTGGATTATGTGGCTGCCTGGAGGAGCCCTGTAATCAGTTGGGAACACAAGTCCCGCTGGCTGCTAGGACTGGTGGCCTCAATGAGTTACTGTCCTGATAATCTCCCTCCTCCTCCCCGGCCAATTACTCATACTACTGTCATCAGGCAGATCAGTACCTGCTTTGTTTTTCAAAAATGTGATCATTTCTGCCTCCCTTGATGGCATTGCAGCGTTACATAAAGGCATTACAGCAAGATTAAAAGGCCTTTGGAGCCTATAAAAGAAAAAAAGCTGAGCAGTTACTGAATGGCTCTGAAAAATAGATAAATTTTATAACTGTAATTATTGCCTAACAGCAACAGCAAACTAAACTACACGGGTTAACCTTTATTTGCAATTCAAATGTGAATCACAGTCATTTAAGCACTGCGGTAACTTGAGGTGATTGATATAAATCTTGAACCTTAAGGACAATTACTTTGTGTAGAGAGGAAATTAGATGTTCAGAAGTGAAATATTGCAGTTCTGGTGGAACTTGGGGGGACAGATACTGCAATAAATACATGCAGCAAAAACTAAGGCAGCTTACAGACTCCTGAATTGACAGTTGTTAGTTGAGCTATTCTGGTGCACACTGAAATCTAAATTATGTCTGAACTTGAGTGGAAAATGGATTACAAAGCTAGCTATAAATGACAGAAATAGTATAATCGAGAAAGGTGATATCAGTGCCTCTGTGGAAGCCGAAGAGTAGGGTACTTGTATTCTGTTCTTTACTAAAAAGGACTTTACAACTTGAAATTTTATTCTAGGAGGGAGAAAGCCATTGCCTGAAAAAAAGTTAAGAACAACATTTACTAGTTATGTAAATCTTGAGTGCACATATAGGTAAGAGACCTGGTTCAGCAATAACTTTACAGCACATTCAGTTTTACAGAATTCTTCTCTGTGGTGTGTTTATATTAGTAGAGAAATAGGATATTTCAGAGAGATGTGAAATAAGAAAAAACAATAAAGGTAATTAATTTCATTTGAGGATATTTAACACTGAGAGGGTAATGCTTCTACATGAATAAAGGTGCCGTTTAAAAAAAATATATATACACAGTTATCTCTAATACTGTATTCCTGATCTAGGGGAATGAACCAGCAAGCTTGTTACTGGCTAAAACCTGAAATAACTAAAGTGTGTTACAGCCTGCATGTGTTCCCTCCAATCTAAAAACCTGTTCTTTATCCTCTAATAAAATATATTTTCCTTTCTGTGTTAACCTAGACCCAAGTAGTAGGGCTCAGTTCTGCAGCTCTTTCTTTCTACTTTCAATTCCTACAGTTAGTGGAAGTTTTACAAAAGCGAGGAGATATTGGCTTTCAGATTTTTTCATTGGAATAATTTCTCCTGACAGTTTCAGAAGGTTATTCTGCTAATGTTTGAAAAGCAAGGCTTTTAAAATTCAGTTTATAAAACTTTATTTTCAGGAGGTACATTTTTCTTTTAAGTCACAGAAGTGTACAGGAGAAGCCAAAGCCACCTATTATATCACTGCTAAACAGAAGAACTCTAATAACTTAATCCAGATGTCCTATTTAGCAGCCTTCCCTTTAGTAATAGTCCATATGCTCTTCAATTAATTCTTAGGTCTTTCTTTTAATGATGTACAGAATGGTATATGCACATACTATGGGACAGAGATTGCCTTCAAGCCTGGAGCTACTTGCTATTTAAATGCAGTTTTACTGCTATGATACCCCTGGTATTTTGGAAAGATTCTTCTTAAAGTAATCTGTCACTTCTTTTGTGATGACATTTAAGGAAAATATTTGATTGAATATCTCACTGTTTGTAGTTTGTTGAAATTCATTACTGATTTTTGCAGCAGAATACCTTGAAGTTGGGAGATTTTGGATCTTGTAGGAGTGTCTGTTCTCAGCAGGCACACAAGGGATGTGCTTCCCCACGCTGGTACCAAGCACCTGAATGTTTGCTTGCAAATGGCCACTGTAGTTACAAAATGGGTATGTGGAGTGCTGGCTGTGAAATCACAAGGCACAGTGTTCGATGGAGGGCTTCTCTTATTGTTATTCAAGATAACCAAAAGTAAATAACTCAAATTAAGAGCACGTGGTAATATGATCTTCGTTTCCATGGATTTGTGGAAGCTTCTTCTGTGCTTAATCTGCAGGGTTCACGAGGCAGTAATCCAGTCTGGCCTGGCACTCTCTTCACCCTGTGGCAGGTTAGTAATAAAGCAGTTGCATATTCCAGAGAACATAGTACAACCAACATTATAACCATTTTATTTCAAAAGACATTTTTGAACATTTTTCCCCCCCAATGACTTCATATTTAGTACAATTTTATTTTTTCTGCTTTTCTCTGTGTACAGTATGGCTCATTTCCTCTCATGAGCATCACTAACTATCCTCAGTTTGGTTAATACACTTGGTGATAAAATATTTCCCTCTTTTTCGACCTGCTAATAGTTTTTCCAAAACCAGAGGAGATTAGAGAATACAATCCCTCTGATTTATGACTTTGATTTATAGTATAGTGTGTTTAAGACCTCATGTATTGGGATATTTTGAAACCGGATTCTGATGAAGAAAGAGTTCAGGAAAATGCAGATTAAAGTCCTTTAAGCTTTTTGCTGATGATGAAACTATAACTCAGAAAATGTGTCACTGGCCTTCAAGAAAAGAGGAGAAATCACCACCATGAGTATTCCTCCAATATCTTTGTGCCCTAGCAACAGCAGCAGTTCTTCGTTATTCTCCTCCCACACTGCTGTCTCTGATATGCAACCAGGAGTGATAACATTTGCTTTGCTTCTTTCCTCCTCCTCCACATGGCAAGTGCAGCTGCTGCCATCACCATCACATTAAATGACAACCATTATGCTTTGCCTGCTAACTTGTAGAAACAGTTCTGCTTCGGCCAGAAAACTGTTAATAGAAAAATCCCAAATGTGGTGAAACTCTTGCAAAGTGAATTGGGACAAAAAGTTTTAAAAATGCCACGTTGTTTCATTTCAGTTTGAATCAGGTGGGCTTTGAAGTTTGGCAAGAAAATTACACACTGCAAACTCTTTAGGTTTTCTTGGGGCAAAAAGAAAAACCCTTAAAGATATTTCCTTGTAATTTTAGCTTAATGTAAAAAAATTCACTCTTTGCAACCAGTGCACGTTTTCAGAGACCTCATAGGTGTGCTCAGAGAGAAATGAGGGATGTTTATTGGAAATTGCCAAATTAAAAGAGAGAATCTTGCCAAGCTAAAGGATGTTATGGACAAGATTGTTTCTTTTTCAGTGCATCTTGCAGTTGTTGCTGTTCAGTGTCTGCATAAGCCTTTATGCTTTACACGGCATTGTATAAGAACTTTTAGTCTTTTACTCAGCCATGCTGATCTTTCAAATCTTGGTTTCCTTCTTTCTGTTCCTTATAAATCATGACTCCTGGACTGCACTTTTTCATGGCTTGCACAGTTGTTCTTCACTGGGTTACAGTTTTACAATCAAAGACAGCAGCACATTTTTTTCTTCACACAGAAGCTACTCCCAGCTGCCTGTCTTGATACAGCTGCACCATGTGAATCAGATCTTTTCTCTCCTTCCTCAGCTCAAAGCTTTTTGAAGACATTCCGAGTAGTGTGCAGCCAGCTGTTTGATTGAATTTGCAAACAGTTAAAAAGAAGGCTCACTGTTTTGCTTTCAGGAGTCATGTGGTGCTGCTGAAGTGTTTCTTAAATTATAAACCCAAGGAAAAAAGTAACATGTACAGGAAACAAATAGTAGCAGACCTGACTAAAGTCAGATTGCTCTGTTATGATAACAGTGTTTTCAAGGACTTTATGCAAGTTTTATATTAACTGAGGATCAAGCTCAGGAATGCAGTTCAAATTACCATCTTTCCAGTACTGCTGCTTGCAAAGAACCTGTTTGTTAGGAATAGAGTGTGATAAATACGTATTTCTATGTGCATACACAGCAAGAGGGACTGCTCAACTCCTGCTGTCTTAAAATGAGGAAAACCCATTGTCTTCTGGGATCTGCCACTTTACTAGAAGCAAACACAATCTCAGTTCCATTGTCCTTCACCAAGAGGGATGTTCTCTTTACATATTTTACCCCAAACCAGTGAGGAGAGTTTACAGCTTCAGGTTTCTGTTTAAAAACCCGAACTGCTCTTTCCATCCAAACCTGCAGTTGTGTTGCTCTGCTGCTCACATTATCCTTCAGTTGTTGGTAGGTATTAAATTGTCCACAAGTGAATAATTCTTAACATGTTATCTTCTTTATAAGCATTTTTTTTTTAATCAAAGTGGCAGCTATGCAACTAAAGTAGTTTATCTGCGTCTTCTCTAGTGCTAATACCAATCTCTTACCTTGCAGTTTTCTTGGATCTAATGAGCTGGACCAAATTTCAAAAATCCATGACATTATAGGCACTCCTGCTAAAACAACCCTCAAGAAGTTCAAGCAGTAAGTATGCACTCCCACAGTTATTAATCCCACTGTTTAAATATCCACAACAGAACTGTACAGCTCTGTGCAAATTCTGCTCCAGGAGCCATCACAAACACCTCCTTCCCTTCTGACCCAAGAGCAGCATCTTCTATCCCCACCCAGAGACAGTCAGAGCAGAGGATATCTGGGCCTATGTCAATCTGATTTGGCCTTTTATTTCCATAGTATCTTTAAGGCCAATGATGTAACATTTTAGGAAAGAAAATATCTTTTTCCCAAGTACTACTTACTTGTCCCTAATTAATGATTACCTAAATCTGATTAATTCTTTTCAGTAAATTGTAATCCTGACTATGCATGAATAATTTTTTTCTCAACTTGCTTAACACAGGTCAAGAAGTTTTAGTTTTGATTTAAAAAATGGAGAAGGAAAACCTCCTCTTGTGCACAAATTGACTGCCAAAGGTTTCTCTCTCCTGTATGCAATGATAAAATATGACCCCGATTAGAGAACTGCTGCCCATCCAGCATTACAGCACCCTTATTTTCAGGAACTCTGGCAAGTGACTTCAAATCTCTTCAGTCTTGAAGACTAAAATCAAAAAGTTGGGTGAGTGCTGTCCTTACTTCAGCTGGACTGAAATGAAATTTGCTTCCAGGGCGAGTTCTTGGCTTGGAATACAATTAATGTAACTCAAGTCAACATAATTCTTTGCCTTTAGTCCAAACCTCACCTAAAGCACAACTGATGTTTTTTTCTACTTCTCTTTTTCCCCCAGACTTTTTAGGGCACCTGATACACAAGCTTTGATCATGCACAAAAAATTAAGATTAGTAAGAAATACATAAGGTCAAGTACCTCAGTCTTTGTGCCAAATTCCAAAAGCAAGTCCAAGACAGGTAGTATTTAAGTGGAAGAATTGTCAGCCCATTTAGAGAAAGTAATTTGTAGCACTGAGCTTGTTAGCTAGAAACAAATGTTTTACTTAAGCTGATTACTTGGATTTATTCCGTCTGCCTAAACACAGATCTTTATTTGGTCTGATGCCTTTCCCCCTCCCCCCAAATCCCTGACATACACGAGTTAGAATTTAGAAGCTTTGATACCCCCTAATCCCTTCAGTAGACTTTTGTCAGAGTTACTGGTACTTAAAGGGTCAGCTCCGCCTTTATTTTTAAATATCACCATCCTGGTTTTGCTGTCTGCCTTTGGCTTAAAGAGTTTTCAGATGAAGTTGTGGCAGAGACAGAAAGTTTGCTTTTGCCTTCTCAGGGCTTCAGTCTACATTTTGGAGCAAATAAAAATATATCATTTTTTAACTTAATTATCCTGTTTTTTGATGATATCTGGGAAAATCCTAAGCTTGTTTTTGACACAAAGTAAAAAATTAAGATCTGACTAAAAATTCCAGCAAACTAAAACTTTGTTTATATATCAGCTATGTGAGAAAACTCAACGTATTCATTCTTAAAGGTTTGCTGTATCGACAAGGTGAGATGAAACTTAGTACTACATCACAAACTTTCAAATACAGGTTTTTCTAGAAAAAACCCTTGCTATAGTAGCAAAGAAAAACTATAAATTATTTTCTGCTGTGCATTCAACCTTGAAAGCATGAACTCTCCTTCCATAGGAGGAGCCACTTTTTCCATCAGTTTAGTTGTGGAGTTCATCAACGTAGGCTTTGTAAGGAGTTCCTTTAGGAAAGATAGCAAGAAACATCAAGTGAGGCAAGTAATTTTTATAAAAGAATGAGCTGAAATAGTATTTGGCTGAGGTTTGAGGTTTTTTCTCTGATTAGTTGGATTTTCTCTTTTAATTTTACTCCTAAAGATGTTCTTAGAAAAAAATTGAACCTTGTTTATTTATTTTAAAAGCATTCTCTTAGGAAAGACCAAGATAAAAAAACAAAAACAAAACGGATCTCCTCTTGGAGAATTACCAAAATGAAATTCTTCTGGAGTAGCCAAATTGACTTCCTGTTCTATTCCTACACTGCACTCAGTTTTCCGGGCACCTAAGGAAAGCAGTGGAACCCCTGTGTTCCAGTCTGTTAAATTTATTGGATCAAACACTGAGGTGTCGACTCTCACTCGCCCATTGAAGTGTATTTCAAACTTCTGTTGCTTCCTCAACAGTCTGAGAAACAGAAGGCATTTAAGTCTTCCCTGAAACATTTCCACTCGCCTGCTTTAGAAGGAAGAGGAGTGAGGAAAAGCACGGCTGTGCAGTGAAGAGAGACCCAGGCGTGCTTCTGCTGTTAAAGATCTAACAAGAACAGCAGTGCCTGCTTTTGTGTTGCTCTGACAATTTGTAGGAAACCCCCACAAGGTTTGAGGGCTGCTCTCCTATCATTTTGGTATTCTGTTCCTGAAGTGGGTCAATATTTAATTAAAGCATTGTTCTGGCAGAGCACAGGGAGCATTCTGCATTTAACTTCCTAAGTATTTGTTCCTTTTAGAACCTGGTGGAGGAGGAGGTTGGTTAAAAATAACATGAAAGGATTCTTTGAGCTCAAGTATTAGGAATGGAATGTTATCTACAGAGCGTAAGTTTTCACATTACATTACCAATGTCAGCAAACTGCTGTATTTTTTTTAGATTCAAATTTAATTTCTTTTTTGGTCAGCTCTGGAAATTATTCTCCTTCTGTATTCAGCAACTTCCACCTCGGGTTTTACTGAGAACGTGCAGATTGTGCAATCACATGAGATACTTGCTTCTGATGCAGTTTCTGTAACTGTTGAATATTTTTATGTAACTATAAGCTAGCTAAAAGCTAAACCAACTTTTTATCTGATTCGAAAGAAAGCAAAATTTAGTCATAATTTGCTTCAAGCTATTGATCTGAACTTTAATCAAAAGTCTTAACAGGCACTGATATTGCAGCCAGTTGCTTAAAAGCACAGTGAAGGCACGTAGCTCATCATCCTTCAGAAATTTTGCACACAGATCATCAGTAACACTTTAATAGCATGTTAGTTTCCTATTGCTATAAAAGGTAAGAATTAAAAGGCAACATCCTTATCTTACTTGGCAAGAATCGTTATTCCAACTTGATACCATTGATTTTTAAACTGAGATCTAAAAATTTGCATTAATTAATTTGCTATACCTAAGTTTGGTGATGTGTTACAGAGCAGTTTTGTTACTTAGAAAACAAGAGTCTGTGCACCGTGAAAAACACACTGGGGAGCACATCATGTCCAAGCCTTAGGCATCAATTTGAGATTACTGCTCTAAATCCAAACTATTTATTTCTAATCAGTTAAGATGCAGCTGAAACAATGCAGTAAAATACAGGTTAACATAAAGATTTTGTAAAGATATAAGTCATCTAGAATAGAAGTTATGCCCATTATGCTGTCATTGCACTCCTGAGACTCTGTAGGGCTGTGCATTTGTGGGGGGGGAAAATTCTTCTTACTCAGTTTGAGGTCTTGCAGTAGGTGGGGGTTTTGTTGTGGTTTGTTGGTTGGTTGTTTTTTTAAGAAGAAGCCTCTCAACACTTTTAAGGTTCTGTTGTGACTGGATTAATCCTATTCCTTGTTCTACCTTTCAGATTCTGGACAACTTTGAGTATGCCCAAATTCTACATTGTAGCTTTTCAGTGTGGGGAAGCTCATGAGACTCAAGTTCTTTATGAGTCCTTTTGACATCTACTGCTTAAAAGCACTTGTCTATCTTATGTTTGTCTTCATGTTTTGAAGAAGGTATTATTTTCACATACTGTACTGAGGATCAACGTGACATTTACTAGCAGATTCTTTAAAATGTGAAAATATTCACAGGGTAAATGTGGTGCATACTGTGGGAGTCATTTTTTGGTATTTATTCAAATTTGGCTATCCAAGTTGAGTATTGGGCACCTGCATCATGTACCTTTGTTCAATTTATTCTGTTTGTTCACAGCAAACTTTCAGAATCTCAAGAGCAAGAATATCCCACCCTAGCAAGAATTCTTGTAAAATAAGGCTAAAGCACTTAAACGAGGCTTTGCAGGGAAACCTGCAATGCTGCTCCTTGTACCTGTACTGCAGAACAATGGTACAGGTAACTGCTCTTTCTCATTTTCTTAAAACTCGTGTGGATGGGCGCTGCTTTCCTCCAGTTCCAAGCAGAAAATGTGCTCCTGACCAGGGTATCTCCAAGTGCAGTGAGGGTACATAAAACCACAGTGACTGGGTGAGTTTTCTTGCTCTGTTACATGGCCCAATTAATCATCTCTCTACTTTGTCCTGCTTTCATGTTAGCACCTTATACTGACAGAGAACTTCAACAATAAGGCAATCCTGTATTTGTTTTAATAACTACCACAGGTTTATATATATGTGTTAAATATATAAGATACATATATAGATATAAGAAAGGTGTGACACTACACTTAGGAAATGGAATTAAGGACTGCAAGTCCATAGGCAACACAGTGTAACAGCAGCCTCAGACTTCTTACCTTTGGAATTCTGAGCAGACGGTGCCATGAGCTTATCCAGTGTTTTTTCCAGAGAGGAAAATGGTGAGTTGCTTAGTGCCAATATATTTGAAGTTGAGCATAGTGTGCAGAAGTAAAAATGATGGTCTAAAAATAGGTAACTTACTGGATCCAAGGGAACTCGCTCTCCACTGTTGTTAATTCCTTACAAAAAACAGAGGACAAATCTTACTACCCACATCTAACAGATTGTTCCCACTCAGAGCTCTCTTACCTAGTAGAAGGTCAAAGCTCAGATTAGCTGAACTATGTTCCTGATAGAGATGTATTAATTGTGTTGGAAGCTTCCTGTAATCTTTTTCTAGAAGCCTCAAACCACAGATGCTGAAGTTTTAAGTATTTCAACTAAAAAAAAAAAAAAACAAAAAACTCAAATTGTGTTTGCACAGTTTGGTACCTTCCTGATTTCAAGAATGTTATTGCCAGTTTCCTTCCATAATTAATATAGGGGGGTGATTATTCATATGCCAGGAAAAATACAAACTCAGAATTCTTGGTAAGTTTTAACCTGAAGAGAAGAGGCTACCACCATAACATCTTGTGTGTTATCACATACCCTGTACCTGGGGCTGTCAGGCTGTTATCGTGAAAATGGCAATTTCACATTCAGCAGATCATTTTTGCTGTGAAAACTGCAAATCTGCAGTAAGTCAAGGACCATGTTGGAATTTTTATTCATTTCTTTTACACTTTCAGGTGGATCTTACACAGTGTGGCACATACAGTGCTTCAAGGATATTTATTTCATAACAAGTTCTTTGCTGTTAAACCTCTGGAGACAATTTACACTTCTCTGGCAGTTGGATGAATAGGCAAACTCGAGTTTTCCCACCTGCTTTATAGCTATAATACATCCAACTTTAAACTGCAAATTGGCAAGTATTATTCCTACCCTCATTCTTTCAGCTAAAATTCCATATTGAGATTATTTGTGTTCAACTCACTTTTAGTTTTTTTTTTTAATGTAGTAGGAAAAAAGTTTATTAAGAGCTGTATCTACAGTAGAACTCTTAAGTTCTTTCCAGGTAAGTTATTAGTATCCTATTTATTCCTATAAGATTTTTTTTCCACATAGTAAAGAGTGTGGCACGGGCAGTTCAAAATTCTAGATGATTGCCCAAATAGTGAAGAAGAGGCTGAAAAAAGAAAACCCACACAACATTCCTTGTGTGCTGCTGAACTAGGATTTGTGGCAGGGACAACATGGATACAAGTAGCTGCTGTTGTTACCCTGATGTTGGATACTGCAGTTCTTTCCATACTGGTTTTGTATTTTTTTCAGCTGAAGGAAAAAAGTCTTTTAAAGTTACTGCATATTTTTTCAACCATTTCATTTTGACTCAGACTGTGTGAAGCACATACATAAAAGAAGTCTACAGAGAGATAACTACACTAGTTTTCAGTGACAAGGTTTATCTGTATTTTAACAGTTAAACCCACTATGTTAATAAAACCAGACTTCTGAACGATAATCCTGCTCAGTTTCAGTATTTTCCCCATCCCTTGTATTTTAGAACACAAATAGATAAGCATTATACAGTACAGCTCCATCTTGAATGAAGTAGGCAACTGATTCCCAGCTTACAAATGTACCTGGCAGTTCCCTACATGGCTGCAGAGCAAGAGTAAGACTTAGTTACAAGGAGCTACTGCAGTTGCTTTTCCCCAAAATTTTTGTTAATTTTGGGGGAAAAAAATCACTTCTCAGGCCAGAAAATGTCTAAATTTTACTTGTAATTAAAAAATTTCTACCAGGCATTATTGTTGGAGAGCAGGAAGGGCAGGAACACGTGCCTCAGATACAGCTCGTGCACCCTTGGGCAAGTTCACAGTCCCAGATGAGCAGCCACTGTTCCACTCTGCCTGCAGGATTCCACAAATCCCAACTGTGATCATTGCTACATTGAGGAAGGGGAAGAGTGTGATGGATACTTCTATTTTCTGGGGCTTGACATAAAGCAGAATCTCTGGGGGGAAAGAGGAGTTAATCTTTGCAAGAACTACTGAAAACAATTTAGCGTTGCGTTGCTGACTGGTTAAAAATGAGGAGCGTTCGGACAAACAGTTAACCTCTGCAAATCCAGGGATCTGTCTGACCCTGTCACACTTACCAGTTTAAGAGCGTTGAATTATAAATGAGATGCCTGATGTAAAACAAAAGAGTCTCAGAATACTCCAGTATGTTGACCCAGTTTCTGACTGCCAAGTCAGAAAGAGTGTACGGCTACTACTGGGATCTTCCACTGCCCAACTCAAACACACATGGTTACCTCATGGAGCTGTGCCTGTGAGACTTGTGTTAGGATGTGTTTAAACTGCATTATGTGCATTATGTGAGATAAGCTGTTAGGCATGAGAACAGAACAATTGTATTTCACTTTCCTAAGTGACATTCAACTGTATTAAATAAGTAGTAATATTCTAGGTGAGATATTTTTGAAAGGAATTTGTTCTACAAAGTTTAGATAGTATTTCTGTACCAAACATTTAATTCAACAAAGGATCGGTTACATCAAAAGTGATCGAATTTGAACAGAAAGTAAACAAAAATGCATATTCAAGATAGTTTAATATGTATTTTCTGAATTAGAAATATCACTTTCTTAAATGAATGAGAATCTCTAGTGTAATGATCCGTTACTCCCCTCCCCCATCACTGAATTACATTATTTATACATATAATACAGAGCCGATTGCAGTTGAAAACAACAATATTAAAATAAATGTTTAATAGATACAAAGGATCTTTTCTCCACAACATAGTTTTTCTGGTGTCTGAACACCAATTTTAAAGTAATTCTCTATTAGCATTAAACTATTTAAGTGCAAAACAATTTTGTTTTAAAAAAATCTATGATTGCAGCATCCATCTTCCTGAATAACATTTTGAAGCCAGAAAGTAATGACTTTCATTTTCCATGAGTGCATTCCAGGCTGTCTTCTAGCCATCTCTGGTTAAAAAAATCAGTGCAAAATAAACAATGGTGAAGTACTAGTTTAACCATTGAACTTACTTGAATTTAAGAAACATATCTTATTTTACACTATATATATATATATATATATCTTTTATTTATATATTTATATAGAGAGATTAAATTACACTGGACTTGAAAAGTATAAAGAAAACCAAATATGTTACTACTTTTTCCTGCAGCACCGAAGGAAGCTTTTTGCTTTTTCTCCAATGCAAACTCTTCCTTGGGTGAGCAGCCTACCAGGATCGGCTGTAGTGAGAACCCATTGCATTTGTCCTTTGCAAGTCACTATGTGATTCACATAATTCCATGTTTACACTCTGCCACATTAAAATTTGTGATGCTCTTTGCCTGAAGAACAGCTCCTGGTTCCACTGTCATTACTTCTTGTCCTGCGTTCAGAGATTTGCTAGCAGTAGTGTGATGGCTATACTACAGTTCCACTTGGAGAATTGGCCTGGTTTTGGGATGACAATAAACCCTGCAAACAAAGCAGTTTACATTAATCCAGCAAGAGAACCTGACATGAATTTTATAAAGTTCTTAACCTGAACCTACAATGAGTACAATTTATTTTTACCACCACTTGCTTACTCCAGACATCAGCACCTTCTCCTACACAGGCTCTAAGCCACCACGGTCTCAGCCAAGCAGCACACAAAGAGCTCTCAGTCAGGAACAAAGCATGTGCGTTTAGGACACGGAAAGGATCTGATCCCAGCATTTGGTTTAATCTACCTTGCACTTTGAGTCACTGTGAACTGTGAAACTTTAAAAATCATACACCAAAAAAGTGATCAGTACTTTATTAGGGCAGTGACAAACAAATCTGTTCCACTATCAACAAGTTTGACACCTGACCGGACAGGGAAGCGCTCCATCTCTTTTATGTGATTGAGTATTACAAGCTTTGAATAGAAAAATAGATAATATAACCAAATATTTGTTTTGGTGATTTTAAATGAGAATGAAACACTGACAAAAGCTCAGTAAAAGCTTCCCATGACAATTTAAGCTCACATTCAAGAAAGCTTTTAACCAGCTCCTTTATCCACCCTGCCATTCAACTCAACAGAGACCTGTTCCATTTCAGACAGCCCTGTGACTGTACGGACCCCTCACTGCACAGGGGCTACTGCTCTGGGTTAAGGCAACTGTACCTATGGATACACCTGTGGATACCAATGGACAGCCTGCATTTCAGATTTGTGCACAGTAGCCCCTTTTTAATCAATCATGTAGAAGTAACTGTTCATCAGTCTTTTTTAGGAAAAGCTTAATATCAAAATACAATTTAACATTCTTTCAAGGTCATTATTTAGTTCTAACGAGTGCCAGCAGGCTGAGGAGCACTCTGGCAGCTGGAAGCACACCAGAGACTATCCCCATGCAACTCCTCACCATGTAGGCATGATAAATGCACTTTCAGCAACTCCCCTAAGCAGCTCCCAGCTTAGGTCCTTACCTCAAAATTAGGATCCCAGGACTCAGATCCATCAAACTAGACAAGCTCAGGCAGCAATTAGCATACAAGTTAGAATTATGTCCCATCTTCAGAATCTACAGGAGCTCTTTCATGCTTGGATCCAAGAAATGAGAGGCCATGACTGATGGAAGATGTGGAAAGAGGGCCAGACTGGGTGGATTCAAGTCATCAAGTTTCTACTAAAACCAAAGCCCTTCCTTTTAAAAAACCACCTGATGTACCAGTTCAAACACGTTATGAACCTGGATAGTTTGCAGGAGTTATAGCAGACTCTGGGTCTGTGTAACACATTCTATATTTATTATAAGATGTATTTATAATAATAAAGGATGTGGCACTTCATTTGGTGCCCTCCATGGATCTCACCTGAAGGAACGTGAACACTTATTTTTATCTGTACTCGTTTATGCAGGGGTTTTGTGATTCTCACACTGTTGAGGTAGACTGAAGTGGGTTGTTCTTTGCACTTGACATTCAGGTTGTGCAAAGATACTGCATATTTCATGAGAACAAGAAGTTTCCTAGTTATTAGTTAAGGACTAGATGGTGAAAGAAGGCAGAACTTTAGAGCAAACAAGCCACTGAAGCACTTCTGAAATTTTTTACCAAGGAATTTTTGTTGGAAAGTGATGAGGATGAATCAGAACTCTCTAGTTCATTACTGAAGCATTCTTCACAAGTCCATTAAATCCAGCAGCAACTGGAAGGTCTTTCTTGCCAGAAGATTACATACACTAAGCAACTTTCAAGTACCCTGGAAAAAGACATCCAGGGTATTATTTTCAGTCTTTAACAAATCAGCAATCCAGACTATTTATATGCAAATACGTGCTTTGTAAGCACACAGGAAGCACTAGGGATGGCATGACATCAAGTCTTTTTCAACAGGCTCATAACCACACTAGAGAGAGGGAGAAATAACCACTATCTTAGTACTGGGTTTACACTGTAACACAACCAGTTGTTGGGAAACAAAAGGAAGAGTCATTTGTTTTCCTGGAATTCCTCTAGAAACTGGTAGCACATACTGACATTCAGTGCAGTGCCTTATTCTCTGTAACTACCAGCCAGCCTGGAATTCAAGTTCCAAATGTAGGAACAAGGAGTCAGTCTTGTTTCATCTCCCAGGCCACGAATGCTCCCTGCTTTAAAGAGCAGCAGTGCAGTGCAGAGGGCTTTCAGTGAGTCCTAGGAACTCCCAATATTTCAGTCCTTGCTCTGAATTAATTCTGCAACTCTGAGCAGGCAAGCCAGAGGAACACGGATGTGGAAATGATCTCAAGATCAATATCCTCCTGCTCCTGCAGATGAAAAAAAACCTTTGCAAGTCCTGCCTTAAAACTTGGAACCAGGCTACAAGGGCCATTCAGAACTTCACTCACACTGGAGAGACCAGAAAGTCTATGAGCATTTCCAAGTACTTCGTTTCAGAAGACATCTTAGATACAAGAAAAGCAAGACTATGAATTTGGTTTTTAGGCACAGAAGTTTCACCAAAATGGTGAGAGCTCTTCATGCATCCTGAAAAAGATTGTACAGAATTCTGCCATTATACCAGAGCCTTCCAAGCAAGGCTATGAAAGAGATTATGTCAGGTGTAACAGGAAACTTTAAAAACATTAGAAAAGCAAGTGAGGGCTCAAATAAAGTTACTCTTTTGATACAAAAGCTCCCCTATAAGAGTCTGGTCTGTAATACAAAGGGTGTGGGACTAGAACAGCTGTAATTGTGTTCTCTGGAATAACACAGTGGGTAAGGTTATGAAAAAATACAAAAAGCTCCTGCCTGTAAGGAAAGAGTAAAGCCATTAGAGCACAGTGCCTGCTGTGATGGAACCACCCAGTCTGGTCAAGCAGGTGGGAAAAGATGGAACAGAAGCTGCAGCAACGTAGTGGGGTGACATCCGAGCTGCCCCACTGAACAGCTGTGACAGGACCGTGGAAGAGCAGAGCCATGGCAGCCACAGCTCTGCCGGGTGGTGCAGCAGCTTCAGGCTCTGGGACAAACA